TAAAATCTAAAGGTTGTTTTTTAATTAAAAATGCATTTACAATATGTAATTTGTTTAAATACTTATACACATATTTTGCAACATTTGTTAATTATAAATCAAACCACTTTTCTAAGTAAAAATAGCTTTACTTAATTCATTAAATTAATTAACTTATTTTACAATATATATAATTTAAAAAAAATATTTAATTTTTTTTAAAAAAAAAAACTGCTCCCAAACGGCTATATAGCCGTAGGGGCTTTGGGGGGGGGGGGGGGCTCCCGGGGGGTTGTGGTGTTGGGAGAGGGGTTCAAAAACATCTATAAATACATCTATTTTCTAACATTTTTCTACACCTCTTCTCCAACTCTTCTCCATCTTCATCTTCTCTTATTATCCTACATTTCTACTTATACATCTACCATTTTAAAGATGGAAAGTACATTTTCCCTTATGCAAAACAATTTTGATAAGTGGAAGGACCCGAAGACCGGACTGTGGTGGACAACTTGCAAATGGTGCAAGAAAGAGTGTAGCTTGGGGCGTTCACACGGATACGGGATGCCAATAAAACATATGAAGTCATGTGACAAAGGCAAAACAATAACCAATGGTGGCGGAAATCCCAATTGATATTTATTAGAAAATGTATTTCATATTGTTGTTTTTTCTCAATTCTCAAATGTAGTTCCTATTTCAAATAAATGCACTTGAACTTTCTTTTTATTAAAAATTTGTATATTCTATAATAATTAAAAAAAATTATGACCCGGCCCGGCCCGGCGGGTGGCCCGACCCGAACCGGCACCGGCCATAGCTCGGGCCGGTCCCGAGCCTACCTCTACCTGACCCGAGGCCCGACCGGGTCTAGGCCCGGCCCGGGCCCGACCCGGCCCGGGTCCATGACAAATTAAAGTTGAGAATGCACTTCTTTTGATTTTTTGCTTTTTTGTTTTGAAAAGTAATGAAATAAAAGTGATTAAAATAAGAGAGTTTTATCAACACAAAGTTCAACCAATAGAAGGTAGGGGTAGAAATTGGTACTTAGTTGTTCAATGCTCATTTGAAAGACATGATTGTTAATTTTATTCTTAGATAGATTGTTAGAGGTTGTAGATAAATATTTTAGGACCCAACACAAGTCATCTAAAATAAGTAACTAGTCAATATTTCTCGATGATGGTCAAAACAAGACTAGTTGTTTTAGTGCAACGATAACCTTAATTATTATCTATATTATCTACCAATCCCGTGGTGTAAATAATATAATTAAATAATTAAATTCTCCCTTAAAACTACAATCCAGGACAAAATAAAGGAAGTTTAATGGCGTGTTCAGATTGTTTTCATTTGTGTTTTTTAACCCCAGAAGGTAAACCACCAAAATGTATGTGGACCTAGTCTCACTTTTTAAATTTTTTTATACACTTATATTAGTTATATACCCTCCCGATCCCCCTATCTTTTTTAGCTTTTAAACGGATTCACACCCATTTTGAAATGCACAAGAAAAAACTGGACCGGACCAACCGATGCTGGATTGCTGGTCCCAAAAAACGCAGCAAGGGACGGGGACCAGCCCTCGTTAACCACCCGTCCACCCCTAGAACCAGTCTCCTAACTGAACCACCCCTAGAACCAGTCTCCAAACTGAACCACCCAAACCGGTCCCGGTCCGGTCCCAGGAATCGGCACCGACCATGAACAGGCTCACCCCTAGCTGCCACCATATGTAGGCAAGAGTGCAAGGGAGGATACTGCCATTCTTATAGTAAACATGCCCCAGACCCCCAATGTTAGCAAATACTACCAAGATTTGTACTTGCCAACACACTATGCAAATACCTCCTTTCAATAATAATATGAACGCGTACAAGATAATGGACATGTTTTGGTTTCAGCATTTCTGCCAAAACGCCAAACCCAAATAAACTAATAAACGCTGCAAATTGCAACATATTAGACCAGCATTTCCGCTCAAAAGCCAAAAAACAACGAAGCCAGTACAACTATCATGACGAATATTTATTTTAGAATAGATAAAATAAAAAAATATAGGGGATACCAACTGCACCTGACCACAAAGACACAACTGGTTGTAAACTTACCAAAATATTTATGTAATAACCAACAGGCAAAAACAGCAAAATAGCAAATGCATAATAATCACCAAAATTTCCAAAAAAAAAACAAAATTCATCAACCATGAATTCTAACAAAAGAAATTGTTGATATAATACAAGTAATAATGTGATTGACGGACCGATGGCTTCATTCCATATGCAGTAACCATGTACTTGTAAGTATACATGTTACAGTAAAGCACAAGAACCCTCATATTCATTCATCCATGTTCTAGTGTTGAGATACTCGAGGTTTCTCTTGCATGCATTTCTGTTGCTGGCCTACAGATACGTAAAGCAAATGTTTGAGTAATAAGATGGGGTTTTAAAGATGTTTTAATCTCTGTTAAAAATGCTTAGTAACTAGAGTGTTGCTACTTGACAGTTGGCAAAACAACTGACAGAAACTCTGCATAACTACCATTTAACTCTCGAACAAAAAAAACTTTTATCTTACATATCATTAAAACCAGGAGCAAATAAATGAACAAGATGGTCTACTTGAACAAACTATGAAGAGTTGGGGGGACATAGGGACGAAGATGTGCATACACTTTGCGATTGTTGACAGAAGATAAACATGTAACAGCAGTGACTTACCAGCACCTATTAGGTTTCTTTTTGGCTAACACTTGATAATCCGAGCAATGTGAAATAACACACATAATAAAATAAGGAGAAACAGCAAAATACGCATTTGCTCTTTCCTAACAACAGAGACAGAGCACACACAGAAAACATTAAAGTAACCACCGTCATCAACCCTTGGTCTTTAGAACTACTCCATATAAAGAGATAAGGGAAACATGCACTTATGTCCCCTAATTCTTTTACTACATGTAATCAGTCACATGTCTGTCACTTTTTAAATATTTAGCCCCACATGTTTTAATATTTTAAATACAATTAGTCTCATTATGTAATAACCAATTAGGATTTAAAAGGACATCCCCGACAATATTGAATGCCGGTAATGGACCCGTAGAAACTAATATTTAAAAGAAGGGATTAATGGTATCTAAAATGTACGATAGTATTAATCAATGGACTGAATTCAAACGAAAGAAAGACATGTTCCGGATTACATGATATCAAGCAATCAGGTGGCTGAAGGGGCAATTTTATCAAAAGATATTACATCACCAAACACCACAACGAGCTTGACATCAATATTCTGCGTACTTGATAGCTGAGTTCATTTTAGTCCCATTATCTTTCAATACCTCTAGGAGTCTCTGGTCTACCCTACTTTCAAAGAAGCAATGCTATTTTACATATCTGCAATTTTTTAAGTGAATCTAACACAATCAAATGCAAGACAAAAACATGATTCCATATTTCTATATGCATAACTTCATTGTTTTAATACACTTGAATAACACTTCTAAACTTTAAGCACCAAGTACATTAGTATTCAGCGTAAAAGTAATATACTGGGTATACTGTATACAGCAAAAAGCAATCCCACTTTGTAGCAGTGCTTCAAATGGTCAAATATATTGGACCTTTCAATTGTAACGATGGATCAATACCTAACACAAAAGTCAAGATTCAAAAAGACAATGCTAGTGTGCCACAGTACTCAAAACATCAGTGCCAACATCAGTGCTAAGACCCACTATGTTCATGAGTAATATTATAATGGCATTAAGGCTGTGAACCCGGACTCCATTTAGGAGGTAAAGTGAATATACAGGTAGTGGACCTGGATGGGAATCCGAATAATTCTTGTATTCATATAGAATACAGAGTACCTTTCATGTCACAAGTATGCTAATTCCAATCTATTTCACGCTTTTAGATCTTGATTTCATTTTTGATAAAACCAAAGCTAGCCATAGATCCTAACTGAAAACACCCATCCTCTTTTATTAATCCGCATCACAAAAGATTCCAATGCAGAGGAATATATTAATCCTAACTGAAAACACCCATCCTCTTTTCTTCAGATAATATATAATCATCAAAATGCTGAACAAATATTAGACATTGCAAAAGACACTGTTTGAAGCAAAAATGAACATTTATTTGCAATGATCTTTCACAAACTTGGATGTAATGGGGGATCTAAAGCATTTATGACATAAAAGTACTTAAAATGATAGCTCTTCAAGCCCAATAACAAGAAGAAGAAGAAATGAACAGCACAAATACAAATGAAGATTAAACAAATGGACATCTGTATTAAAGGGTATGGATAAACTGAAACAACAAATTCAAAAAACTATAAAAGAAATTACAGCTACACAAAAAATGAATCTTTTTACCATTCGGGTAGAGAAATCCACCTTCCGAATAGCAGCATCTTCAACGCCATTGCAAATTCGAAACCCTAACTGGCCAGGAATGCTGGGAGGGAGAGCGATACAAAAAAAGCGAGCAGAGACAATATTAACAGTGCATTCAACTTCTCTCTCCACACGCAGAGGCGTTAGTCGTGTTGTCTGATGATTTCTGTGGCTTTAACATCGTGAATTTACTTTTATGCTTATTTTTTGGTGAAAAAAAATGGGGGTTTATGATGATGACTGAAATTCGCCGGATTGCACGAATCGCGAGGAAGGAAGATGATGAGAGAACGGCTACATTTAGGAGGAGGGAGAGAGAAAGCGGACTCATAAATTTGTAAAGTACTCCTCCGCCGCGGCTTTATTTTCGATTCGTAGTTTTCACTTTGGGGATGTGTCATTGGCGCTTTGTTGGGCCGCTCAAACAGCTTTCAAACTTGTCTTTTTGCTCCACCACTGTGCTCATAACAGTAACTCTTACTTTTTTTAGTCAAAATTGCTATGGGTACCTCAAAAGGTACCTCATTCATACCCCATATAAAAACTCTTCCCCATTTTTACCTCACTCCCTTTTCCATTTAAAAAATTTACCCCCAACTCTCCTCTTCCTTCCAAAACTCCACACCAACCCTCTACCAACTCTCTGCACTCTCCTGCGACAACACCTTCCCCTCTTTCTCACCGTGACAACACCGGCCAACACTCCCCTGCGACAACACCCTCCGTGACAACACCGGCCAAGACTCCTTCCGTCTCACCCTCCCCTCATCTCACACTCCCCTCTTTTTTTTTGTGTTTCGAATGGAGAGCTACAGTGCTAGGGCGAAAGGAGGTCATCCATGGACACCATTTGCAACCCTCTTCAATGGAGTTGAGCTATAGATTGTCCACAGACTCCCCCCAGTATGCCTCTTTCTCCCTTTTTCATTTTCTTCATTTTTTATTATTTATTTTTTAATTCATATGTAATACTCTATATATCTTGTAATGTTAATGGTTGAATATCTTGTGTTTATTGTGATGAATTTGTGATGTTTATTATTACAATTTTAGTCCAACTATTCTAGGTCATTAATATGCCCATAACATGTTTGTTGAAATGCTTAAATGAATTTTTTGTTTATGTCCTCTTATGTTATAAGGATTTTGGATTTTTGTTTTACTAGTATAAGTTTCAACTTTAAATTGTGCATATTGTTGTCTGGTGTATTGCTTGAAGTGCGTATATGGTTGATTTCTCTTAGTAGTTGGTAATGGGTTAGTAGTTTAAAAAAAGTTTGTAGTTGTCTGTCATGTGAAATCAGTTGTCTGGCAAGCCATTTGAGTTGTCTGTCACTTCATTTTGAACTGTTGGAACTAGGTTTGTAGTTGTCTGTCATGTGAAATTAGTTGTCTGGCAAAGCATTTGAGTTGTCTGTCACCTCATTTTGAACTGTTGGAACTAGGTTTGTAGTTGTCTGTCATGTGAAATTAGTTTTCTGGCAAGCCATTTGAGTTATCTGTCACTTCATTTTGAACTGTTGGAACTAGGTTTGTAGTTGTCTGTCATGTGAAATTAGTTGTCTGGCAAGCCATTTGAGTTGTCTGTCACTTCATTTTGAACTGTTGGAACTAGGTTTGTAGTTGTCTGTCATGTGAAATTAGTTGTCTGACAAGCCATTTGAGTTGTTTGTCACTTCATTTTGAACTGTTGGAACTAGGTTTGTAGTTGTCTGTCATGTGAAATTAGTTGTCTGGCAAGCCTTTTGAGTTTTCTGTAGGATATTCAATTCAACCTTTATTACAATACATAAATTGTCTGTATAAGTGTCGTAAATATCTGTCTTGGTTATACTTGTCTGTCTACAAGTCCGAAGAATGTGGAGCGATGGTTGCATCCTTTGTAGAGCACCTGTTAATGGGAAAGCCCTTGGTTCCAAAGTGTGAATATGCAAACATGTGGAACAAGAGATGTCAATACATTGTTCGTTTGTGGTGATTGAAGAGTGTGGAGGAAACATATGAATTCCTTAGAAATGTGGAACTTTATTATTTTGAACATTTATATTCATTTGGAATAACAGATGAAATGAAAGAAAACAGTTGTATTAAAGGCCCCGATGTTGGTATGAAGAAACCTATTTTTTGAAAAGTTAATTAATTTCTCGTACTAACACAATGTTTAATAATAAGAGGTTGGATTGAAACATTAGTTTGTTGTGAATTATCATTGTTGACATTAGGTATACACATACATGCATTAGTTTGTTGTGAATTACCATTTTTGGCATATGTTTCGTAAAAAAGACAGACAATACATATATCTAGACAGACAATAGAATAATCAGACAGACATTAGTTTTATACAGAGAGAATAAGTTTATACATACAAACAATATTGTACCCAGACACACAAAAAATCAACACACATAACTGGATAATTATACATGTAATGTTTGCAAAAACTTACACATGTTCAAAAAACCAATCCAATTCTTCAACATTGTACAATATTTGACACATTTCCCCAACTGTAATATGTAATATTTGTAAAAAAATACACATTAAAAATATCAGAAGTTCAAAACCAATACATTTCTCCAACACTCTATGCTTCAGCCTTCTTCAAGCGCCAAAATTCAATAGCAAATTCAAGTTTTTTGTTCGACATGTTGGTGTAGTCATAATCTGTAAGCATTGTTCTAAAAATCGGCCTAGGCGGACCGATTAATCGGCCTAGGCGGCCTAGGCAGCCCTAACCGTAGAGTCCTAGTCGGTCTAGTCGGCCAAAAAATCGGCCTAGTCGGCCAAAAAATCGGCCTAGTCGGCCGCCTAGGCGCTAGGCGCCCCTCTACCGCCCGACTAGCGCCTAGCGAGTTTTAGAACAATGTCTGTAAGCATTAACTTCTCTAGATCAGTAGACAGACAAATAAAGCACAAACAAAAATTTAGAGCACTTAACACAGACAACTAAATATAAATTACAGACATCTATTTTTAAAATGACAGACAACTTCACTACTCTTACAGACTCATCACAACAACATGACAGACAAGTCATTACAGACAACTCAAACAAATACAGACAACTAACAAGCAAATGACAAGCAATTCAATTAAATATCAATTACAGAAGTCTATTTTGCAAGTGACAGACAACTCCTCTAGTCTAAAAAACAAATACAGACAACTCAAATAACTCAAGGTTTGGAATACTTACTATCTGAAACATTCCTAATATGCACAATTTAAAGTTGAAACTTGTACTAGTAAAACAAAAATCCAAAATCCTTAAAACATAAGAGGATTGTAACAAAAAAACAAAATCTTGTATACAGACAAATATAACCAAGACAGATATTTACGACACTTATATAGACAATTTATGTATTGTAATAAAGGTTGAATTGAATACGCTACAGACAACTCAAAAAGCTTGCCAGACAACTAATTTCACATGACAGACAACTACAAACCTAATTCCAACAGTTCAAAATGAAGTGACAGACAACTCAAATGCCTTGCCAGAAAACTAATTTCACATGACAGACAACTACAAACCTAGTTCCAACAATTCAAAATGAAGTGACAGACAACTCAAATGGCTTGCCAGACAACTAATTTCACATGATAGACAACTACAAACTATTTTTTAAATTACTAACCCATTACCAACTACTAAGAGAAAACAACCATGTATGCACTTCAAGTAATATACCAGAAAACAATATGCACAATTTAAAGTTGAAACTTATATTAGTAAAACAAAAATCCAAAATCCTTATAACATAAGAGGACATAAACAAAAAATTCATTTAAGCATTTCAACAAACATGTTATGGGCATATTAATGACCTAGAATAGTTGGACTAAGATTGTAAGAATAAACATCACAAATTCATCACAATAACACAAGATATTCAACCATTAACATTACAAGATATATGGAGTATTACATATGAATTAAAAAATAAATAATAAAAAATGAAGAAAGATGAAAAAGGGAGAAAGAGGCATACTGGGAGGAGTCTGTGGAAAATCTGTAGCTCAACTCCATTGAAGAGGGTTGCAAATGGTGTCCATGGATGACCTCCTTTCGCCCTAGCACTGTAGCTCTCCGTTCGAAACACAAAAAAAAAAAAGAGGGGAGGGTGAGACGGAAGGAGTGTTGGCCGGTGTTGTCGCGGAGGGTGTTGTCGCAGGGGAGTGTTGGCCGGTGTTGTCGCGGTTAGAAAGAGGGGAGGGTGTTGTCGCAGTGGAGTGCAGAGAGTTAGTAGAGGGCTGGTGTGGAGTTTTGGAAGGAAGAGGAGAGTTGGGGGTAAATTTTTTAAATGGGAAAGGTAGTGAGGTAAAAATGGGAAAGAGTTTTTATATGGGGTATGAATGAGGTACCTTTTGAGGTACCCATAGCAATTTTGTTTTTTAGTTGCTTTTGAGCCCCTTTACCAAATTGAATTCAAAATTGCTATGGGTACCCCAAGTATACCCCATTTCATACCCCATATAAAAGCCATTCCAAAAATTTACCCCCCTTTCCATTCCATCCCCTCTCCCTCACGTGTGTCCTCCCCCTCACCAAAAATCCCGCCCCCCAACCTTTTCCCTTCCCCAGACACTTTCGAAAACCACTCCCCCTCCCCACCGTCGAAGTTTGCCCCCCTCCCAAATCGTCCCCCACAACCGGCGTCCTCACCCCCACAACCGGCGGCCTCACCTCAAAGCGAACGACTTCGGAAACCCAAGGAAGGAACCACCGTCGTGCACTGTTCACCACCGTCAAACGAACCGCCCTCGTGAAGGTTTTAAGGTCCATTGTTCAAGCTTAACACATATGGCTGAAAGGTATGTAATTTTTTCAATTTTTTTTTGGATTTTTTGAATTGATATTATCTTGGTGTGTAAATTTTGTGTTGTTTGTCATTGTGTTTGTCTGAACACTTTGAACTTGTCTGTGCATGGTTGTTTGGTTGTGTGTGCTCACTGCATTTTGAATTCTTGAAAGTTGTCTGTGATGTCATTAGAGTTGTCTGGTTAGGCGTATGAGATGTCTGTCATTTGAAATGAATTGTCTGGCAAGCCATTTGTAGTTGTTTATCATGTGAACATAGTTGTCTGGCAAACCATTAAAATTATTGTGTAGTTGTCTGTTAGGTGAACATAGTTGTCTGGAAAATTATTGTGTAGTTGTCTGTTAGGTGAACATATATAGTTGTCGGGAAAGCTTCCACAGTTGAAAGTATGAACACCCTCAGAGTGGCAAGTTTGGTTAATGAGATGTTTTAAATGTAAATTTTGTTAGCTATGAATGCTTTATAATCTATGACCCTTGAATGTAATTTTTGAGTTATGAATGGTTTAAAAACTAAGTAATGTGTCAAACTGTCAAAGCATACCCTTTGGTATGATTTCAACTTTCTGAAATATGAAACTTGGTTTATAAGGTTTCTGGTTTTAAGTATGAACTCCAAGTGTAAAATATCATTCTTACCAGATAACCTTCTTTTACTTATCAGTTTTTCTTGCATTAATGTCTAACAAATTTAAACAATAATTTGTTCAACCGTATAACCTTGTTACGAAATATTCAACACAAATTTAAACATTAATATGTTCAACCATATAACCTTCTTACTAAGGACAGACATAATTTTCTGGCAAACCATTAAAGTTGTCTGGCTCCTCATTTTGACATAGACTTGTTGTGCATGTGATTTGAAATTGCTTATATTGTTGTGGACGATGTCTGTCCTGTGAACATACTTGTCTGTCAAGTGATATAAAATGTCTGTCCTTCCTTCTGAGTTGTCTGAAATGTTTGATTTGTATTTGTGTTAATTATACAGGTCATTCGAAGTACAAATTCCATTTCGCAAGCACTTTCCAGCCCAGTTATCTATGTGCTCATATTTCAGAGAGGCTATAAGCTAGGTCAAAGCTGCGCTGACAAAGGACCAATTAGAAGAATTTAAGAAATTGCCATGGGGCCACCTAGTATCCGTGCCAGACATGCAATTTTCTGGCCAAATCATCCATTCTCTACTGCTGAGGCTAGTCAAGGACCAACCTAAAGATGAGCTGTGGTTCTTGATTCAAGGGAGGCTGTTGAAGTTTACGTATGCTAATTTCTGTCGCATATCCGGTCTCAAATCATCAGCGGAAAATCCAGTCTTTAATGATGATGAAGAAGTGCATGGGACGCTAATTGATTTGTACTTTCGTGGATCCACGAACATCACGTACAAAATGTTGATGAAGGACAAGTTGAAGTCATTTAGGCGTACAAAAAAAGGAGATCCTGTGAAGTTAGTGTCTGTTTGTTACATTATGACGGCCTTAATTGCTCGGGATAACAAAACCAAGATAAATTTGGACTATTTCAAGTGGGCTGATGAGTTCGAGAAGTTTAAGATGTATCCATGGGGTTTGGAGTCCTATAACACCATGATTGACAACTTCAAAAGTATCATGAAAGAGCAGCCCACCAGGTTCAGGCAAAGCAAGGCCACATGTGCTAAGTTCACTCTATATGGATGTCCTTTTATTCTACAGGTATTTTTCTCATTCATTTGTAGTTTAATGTTGAGACAGACATTTGTATGTGCACACAAACGACTTAGTAATGAAGACAAACATATTAATTTTATAATTTTTTTTAGGTTTGGGCGTATGAAAATGTGCCTAACCTAGGCGAACAATGCGCTGAACGTATTGGTAATGAAGAAATTCCTATGCTGAACTGGAAGGCCGATAGATTCTTTCATGCACGCAAGTTGAACGAATTGGTTTTCAAGGACAATGATGATGTATTATATCTTATTTTGCTGATTTTTTCATTCAAATAACATCGTATTTTAGTCTTTAAATTTCTGTATAGGTGGAAGATGAATCTGAGAATGACAACTTGGATGAAGAAGTTCAGGACAAGGGTTTCAAAGCCAAAGTGATTGATGAGATTCAAGCGCTCCGGGAGCATGTGGCAGCTTTGGAAAGCAGGTTGAAGTTGATGGAAGACAGATTCAGAGAACAGGGTGGGGTGCCAGAGAAGGAGACTGAGGTAAATAATATTTGATGCCACCACATTCTTTCTGATTTTTTCATTCAGAGTGGTGGTGTTAATACAATGGGTGTGTAGGTTGGTCCGGAGCATGTGACTTTGGACATGGAAGTTGATGGTCATGAGCAGGAGGCTGATGTACTTTGATGTCTTCTTGTGTGTATATTTCGGACATTGTGTGTTAATACAAAGCTTCTGCAAGTTAGTTCTCAACATAAAGACGAAGTTGACTGTAGCATAGGCGTTCATGCAGAAGCAGGAGTACAGGAGGTTGAAGATGAGCCAGCGCCCGCCGAAGAAGTAAGTGAAAATTCATATCCCATTGAAAGTGATATTGTCTGTCTACAGACATGTTAAAAGTGTCATGCACTTCATGGTGGATTTAATGTAGGTGGGTGCAGCTGTGGGTGAACCACCTGACCCAATGACCGTAGTACATGATACTACAATTTCAAATGAGATAATATCATCCATCCTTATTGAAGTAAGTGCATACCTATGTGTGATACGAAAATTATTTTAAAGTGACCAATCATTTTAACACTCAAGCATTTGGTTGATTTAATGTAGGTTGCTGACGTTGTGACTGAACCATCTGCCCCCATAGCCGTGGTAAGTGATGAAAATAATGTTAAGGAGTGTTATGCTACTACTGCTTCGAATCATATGATCTCACCTGCTCTTCTTGAAGTAAGTCAATATGTCTGTCTTTACAACATTAAAATGTCTGTTTACAGACATTTTGACAAAGCCTTGCAAGTTATGGTAAAATGTAGGTGGCTGCTGCTGAGTTAACTCCATGTCGCCCAGCTGAAGATGGTTTTTGGGATGATGTTGTGCACGACTTCCAGACCCTTCCCATTCAGATTCCCACACGTCAAGAAATATCCATGGAATTACTTATGAAACGGCCAAGATACCCATCCAAATACGTGGTCAGCCCTTTTACAGACCCAAGAGCAAAGCGGAGGAAAGCCATCACTGAACCGAGTCACACCATCAACCCAATCTTCATCCATGAAAGCCTGGAGGACTGGAATGAACTGAAGGATTGGATAGAAGCAGATGACAGTCAGCCTCCTTACTCTGTGGTTTTACTTATTCCTGATGAATTTGAAGTGAGTAGAGGCTTTTTTCAAGACCTTGTGACATGCAACTTGTGGTTGGCAACCTATGTAAGTGTACACCTTTTTATGATGATATAGTGTGCAATTTGAAGTACTTGACATTGTTTTTTTTTGTAGCATGTTGATGCCCTAACATTCATTTTGAATAGAGACAATGCGCCAGATAACACTACAATACTTAGCCCCTATCTTGTGGTACGTATAAGATTACATAAGTGTAATTTGCAGTATGAATAGGGTAAACCAACTAATACATAAAGCATTTTGTAGGAACAAATAATGAGGAAGTTGTCAAAGATTGGGCTGCAAACAAACTTTTAACCAAACAAGATTGGCGATCATTGGAAAGGGTAAAATATAAATTGTTAACACAACGTTACAAATACTTTAAATGATTAATCCAATTTTATTTTTTGGGGCCAGGTTTTAATTCCTTTGAACATTGAAAACAAGCATTGGATTTTGGCTGAAGTTGTCATTTTTAAGAAGCGGGTTAGGGTTTATGACTCATTGAAGACGGCAAGAAGTGTATTTTATGTTAGGGAACTGTGTGAACGCCTACCCTACCTCCATCGGGTGTTTACGATTGTAACACCCCCAAATTTCCCACCCAAAAATAATACTTTATTCAAATACCAAATATAAGCAAATATTTCCCAACCACGAAAATTACAAAAATAACAAATATACGTAAAACCACCAAAAATCATTACAATAATTCCAAAGCATAAATCAAACACCAAATATCTCAAAATACTTATAAATGCTGATAATAAAGAGTACTCAACATAATCAAACCAAATCAAATCCAAAAGTAAAACCCACAAATAATTTAACAACTCAATCCAAATATAATCCAATCCAATAATCCAACAATTCCAATCAATCCAATACTTTAATTCACCACAAATCCAATCAAATAATATTCACCTCAAATCCAAATCAAGCCAATCAAATAATCTCAATCACCTCAATCCAATCAAAGTCCAGTTCACCTCAAACCCAATCAAAACTAGTGGAAGCCGAACTCCTACCTTAAGTGTGCACACCCCCTAAAAGGGATTCCAAGCCCTCCGGGAAGTAAGAAGCCCGAGTAGTCGGGATTTTTCTACCAACTACACTACAATTAAGCTGGGATACTCCACTTTTGGGAAGTACCCCTGGTGGATTTAGACTTATAGCCATTACCACTCACCAATACCACATTTATCCGGATGTGGCAAACCGACACCACGGATCTCTCCGGGTGCTCACCAAAAATCACAATTCATTCTCAAAGTTCCAAACCAATATCACAACCTCAACCAAAACGGATATGAAATCCAAAGTCCACAAAATAATCCACAATGTAAAATATTAACTCCAACAAATTACACTCAAATGTACCATACATTAAAATTTCGCAAAAGAGCCAAAATATAGAATACTTTACAAATACTCAAATCCCCACAACAATTCACACGATAACTCAAATACTCAAAATATATCCAATACCGAATACTCAAATCTCAAATATAATTTCTCAATAACAATTCATAACAATTTCCAAATACTCCAATAAAAATCTCAATCGCAACTAATTTAATACGTAAATGTAATTGCTAGAAATCTCATCAAATACTCAAATACTTCAAATAAATAATCATAAATAGATTCGCGAGGAAAAGGTATAATTTTGGTTGACGTGAAACTTACCTCAAACTCCAAGTACTTTTATCTCTTACTTTGCTCCTCACTCAATTCACCTTGAATATTAAAATTCTAATATCAATATTAACTTATAGTTAAATAGTTAAACTCCTCTATTCTTAATTTATAAACTCCCCTTTGTCACTTGGTTTTACCATCATTATTAGCACGTATTATTATTATTATTATTATTTATATTTATAATTAGTCCGCTAAGTTTTGTGCCGCAATCTTATACTAGTATATATATTTCACTTTAATTTTCTACGGTCCAATTTTAGTTAGTAGTCCAGCCCGCAAGGATTTAAACACAGTACGGAGAATATTGATACGTACGCTGGGGAAGTTGTCTTCTACAACAGTACCGGCGACGCGAATGGTTCAGCGATGGTGATGGCCGGCGGCTACTTCTTCTGGCGACACAGGCAGGGAAATTCACTGGTGATTTTGTACTTTCTACGCAAGAAGCTTAGCCGAGGTTTTCTAGGCTGACGGGTTCATGCATATTTGTTTGTACGCGGCTAGGGTTTATGGGTTGAAAATATATATACACTTATATTCACCCGAAGGTTCTCGATCGCCGTTATATGCGTTATGAAGATCTTTTTCCTTTAATACGAAAGTGCGCCATAGGAAAGTCGCCCCTCTGTTTCCGATGTAAGCGTTATGTGTGCACATATAGACTTACTAGTTATGCATAGTAGGTTAGGAAAAGTCAAAACTTCCTTATATGATAGAATGTGCGTGTGTATAGGTTGTAGTACATACTTCGTATTTTATTACGGAGTAATTATATATTAATAATGTTAATAATGTGTAGGGCATTTTGGTTTATCACATATTAAGTGTAAATGTTCTAAAATGTACACATTAAAAGACATTAGTTAAAATATCATTTTTTTATTTGAGCCAATGAAATTATTTGATCAAAATTTGTAAATTATTTTAAATTTTTGGAGTGTCACAACGATGTCACTGGAAGAGGGTGAAGCACAACTATGGGTTGCTGAGTTAGTTGAGGGTGTTCTCCAACAGGGTGGAGGGTATTACATTAAACTTTATTTACATTACATATATTGTCTGTCTGCATATGGTAAATGTCTGTCTTCTTTGTAATTGTCTGTCTACAGATCAGGAGAGTGCGGAGTGATGATTGCAGCCTTTGCAGAGCATCTTTTAATGGGAAAGGACTTGCTTCCAGGTTGTGAGTATGCCAACATGTGGAACAAGAGATGCCAATATGCTGTTCGATTGTTGGGAGTGAAGAAGGTGGAGGAATTATAGGAATTCTTCATTAGCTTGGGAAGCCTATTTTTGTGGGTTAATAGTCCAGCTTTGCAAACATTATGAATTTCCCTGTACGATGTGTGTGGAACATTATGTTTTTTTTTTTTGTGTTTGTTGCAAACTATACAAAGGTGGCATTTGAGAAAAAGCGGTTACATGAACATAATTTCAGAAAATGCAATTAAGTTTTTGATGTTAATATGTCTGGCAGGGAATTCAATTTTGTCTGTGTCCGTATGTTAATATGTCTGGCATGGTATTCATTTTTGTCTGTCTCGGTATGTGAATATGTCTGGCAGAGTATTCATTTTGTCTGTCTCGGAAGTTTCATTCCAACTAAAAATTCCAACTACAAATCAATCAAAACACAAACGAGGGAGTTTCAATGACAAGTCATTTCAAATTCCAACTAAAAATTCATTCTTAACTACATACAACGGTCATTCATAATAAGCGTAGATTCAAATCCAACCCCTTATCATTCACACAGGGTGTTAATACGCTCAATTCATAAATTTCATTTGAGGCGTCAGTTGTGTGCATTCCACTAGGCTTCTTCCTTGTTTTATTTGGTTTTGGATCCGCCTGAAAATTTCATTACAAACTATAGTTAATAAATTAAAAGACCAAACCTAAAACACTATAATAAAATGTATATGTAATTGCATTAAACCTTCTGATTCTTCTTTGATTTTTCAAGAGGGCCCTTTATGCGGTTTTTCCTCGGTGCACCCTTCCTTTTGTGATCTTCGGATCTTGAATTGGACCCGACGCCTCCCCATGCACATTTGTATGTAATTGTGGAAGTTGTGTCATGACACCACAAACGGAATAAGTTGTAGTTGACCCGACACACTTATGCAATTGGTCTTGCATCCATTGCATAACGCTTTTATACTTTTCCTCATCATCGGCAATGGCATTTGCAAGATCTTCAAAAGTCTTACACAACTTGTCATACCTAGGGGTGTAAACGAGCCGAGCCGAGCCGAGCCCGAGCATGGGTATGCTTGAGCTTGAGCTTGATAAGAATTCACGAGCTCGAGCTCGATCTCGAGCTTGGACGAGTTAAATATTTCGAGTTCGATCTCGAGCCGAGCTCAGCTCGAGCTGTATTCGAGCTTGATTCGAGCTCTGGTCAAGTTTCGCTAATTAATTTTTATAGATTTGAACTTGAATTAGATGCTCGAACTCGAGCTAAAAATATTATAGGTGTACTTTTTCATTCTCATTTTTAGGTTATTTCTTATTTACTAACATTTGTATTCTTATTTTATTGTCACTAAATATTAAGAGTACATATTATAATTATTACAGATTATGAGTATAATAATAATACTACACACATGTTATTATTTTTGTAATTATTACTATTACTCCGTATAATATACTCCATCTGTGATAAGTATTGAAATGGAATAGTCCTAAATTGGAATATATATTTCAAAAAGTGTATATATATAATTATTACATATATATTTATTATATACTCCCTCCGTCCCAAAATGGTTGGCCAAATTTCCTTTTTTGGCCGTCCCAAAAAGGTTGGCCATTTCCATTTAAAGTAAGGAATATGTGGCTAAAGTTAATTCTCTTTCCTCTGCACAAATTTCAACCACACAATTTTTACTTTATTAATCCACGTGCAAGTCAACATTGGCCAACGATTTTGGGACGGAGGGAGTATAAAATATGACACAAAGGCTCGCGAACCGACTCGCGAGCAACGAGCCTAAAATAAATAGGCTTGAATTGAGCTTGTTAACTATTCGAGTCGAGCCGAACTCGAGCCGAGCTTAATATGACCAAACTCGAGTCGAACTTTTCCCGAGCGATCCACGAGCGGCTTGCGAGCGGTTTGGCTCATTTACACCCCTAGTCATACCGTTGTTGCTCCACTGTTGTGATCCACCCATCATAGTTTATTTTCACTCGTGTGTAAGGGCGCTTTACATCTTGCCTCCATCTCCGCATGATGTACACCTCAGGCAAGATTTTAACATCGTTGCGCTGTAGAACCATAAACATATGTCTACACACGATGCCTCTAAATTCAAACAAATGACAACTACATTTGCATTCACACAAGCCAGAATCATATTCCACTATGAAGTAAACAGTCTTGTAAAAGTCCTCTGTTATTTTAACTTCTTCTTTGACATGATAAATTTTACCGCCATCCCATTGAATGATGTCACAATAAAGCTTGCCAACCACTTCATCTCGAAACTCCTTGAACTTCGCCATTGTGTATATACCTTGCATTTGTTTCTCCATAGGAAATTTCGAAACACACGGTACCAATTTTGAAAATGACTCAGCGTCCGCTTGAAACTCTTTTTCAGCCTTAAATTTTAAGGCACAACCATATTGCTCCACGAATTGTTTTAGACTTGTTTTAGAATGCACAAAAAGGTCGAAGAAAGCGTTGATGCTCTCACTTCGTTGAGTTGTGGACATACCTGCCCAGAATGAAGTTTTCAAGTAACAAGGTACCCACCTTTGGCGTTCTTCAAACATGACCTTAAGCCATTCATCATCTTGAAGTGAATACCTATAATGAATACACAACTCATTAGTTACAACCAATTTGTCTAGCACAGACAAATTTTTTCTGTCAGTTGGACATACACAAGCATTATGTCCCAGACTACTAATGTCTGTCACAGACAAATTTCGTCTGTCAGTTTGATATACACAAGCATTATGTCCCAGACTACTAATGTCTGGCACAGACAAATTTTGTCTGTCAGCTTGACATACAAGCATTATGTCCCAGACTACTAATGTCTGGCACAGACAAATTTTGTCTGGCAGTTTGACATATAAACATTATGTCCCAGACTACTAATGTCTAGCACAGACAAATTTTGTCTGTCAGTTTGACATACAAGCATTATGTCCCAGACTACTAATGTCTGGCACAGACAAATTATGTCTGTCAGTTTGACATACAAGCATTATGTCCCAGACTATTGATGTCTGGCACAGACAAATGTTGTCTGTCAGTTTGACATATAAGCATTATGTCCCAGACTACTAATGTCTATCACCTTTCCAAATGTGAATTCCAACCAACTTCAAAGTCAACAGGGAATTGAGAGTCATATACTGCATCATGTATACCGGCCATAATTTCATCTTTATGGGTAAACCCACCCAACTTCTCCGGAAGCTTCTTCATTATGTGCCATAAACACCATCGGTGTCGTGTATTTGGAAACACTATTTGGATGGCATTTTGCATAGCACGATCTTGGTCGGTAATAATTCCGTGAGGGGCAATACCGTCCATACACTCAAGCCAAGCTCTAAAAAGCCACACAAACGTTTGCGTATCTTCACTCGAGATGAGGCCACAACCAAGCAAGATTGATTGTCTGTGGTGATTCACTCCTACAAATGGCGCGAATGGCATGTCATAACGATTGGTAAGATATGTCGTGTCAAAAGTAATAACATCACCAAAATCTTTGTAAGCATATCGACATCGATTGTCCGCCCAAAATACATTCCGTAAGCGTGATTCTTCATCCAAATCAAGCATAAAGAAGAACCCGGAGCATTGTGCTTGCATTTTTAAAAAAAAATCTTGCAATGCAACTGCATCACCAACCCCCAACCTAAGTTGACGCACCTTATCTATATAGTTCCGACAATCCTTTTCAATGAATGGAAGTTGATCATATCTACCCGCTTCTACGACCTGTGAGTGGAAACTCTTATTAAGTCGTATACCCGCGACATCATTGATTGCAATTTGCTTCGTAGCTTTTGGTGTCAACCTCCTATAACACCGAAATAGTCTAGCCTTCGTTGGACTCATAGGGTGGTTATGATCTAAACAACACGTTGAAATGACCCATGCTCCTTCATAATTTATACGTGCTCTAATTTTAGCCAAGCAACCAAATTGCATTGAAGGTTGAGATTTAAAAACATTTTGTGCCCGACTTTGTCTATTTCCCGCACGCCCGCACTGTAATGCAATTGCAATTGTGCTTCCTTCTGCGTCTTTCCTTGAATTTCGTATTCTAACAGGAAACCCTACTCTTCTCCCGTTTTTTTTTTTTTTTTTTTTTTTTTTTTTTTTTTTTTTTTTTTTTTTTGTTCAAATTGTTATGGTTCCATTTAAACACGCTTTCCAGAGGTTGCACTTTAATGCCTAATGGTTTTGTATATACAACACTGCACATATAAAGAAAAAGCACAATTGTTAAATAGAATTGAGAAAACATTGTGGTAGTTCAATACCTCGTCTTTCAAATCAATGATTGGGATCATATTCTAGAAATCTACTCTTGAAAGATTCAACCATTCTAATCTCTTCCTCTTTGCAAATTGTACAATTCCTCCAGTCAGCCCTATCAGCCATATTCAATAAGCCAGCCAACACCTCACGCCCAAACTGAGCAGGGAATTTTTCATTCTCCTCAACAACATGTGATAAAATTATATCTCCAGGAACTTCCACATAAAAAAGGCTGGAAGATTTATCAAACTCTGTCCGCAATAGTTTCCGCCCTTTGAATCCTTTGGTGATTGTAAAATCAATCCCTACTCTTCTCCCGTATTCCTTGTAAAAATCATGCACTGCATCTTTACTTGGGAACTCCATGCCAACAAAGGGAACTTTATTACAAATCTCTTCTTCCTCTTCATCTGTTATTTAATCAAAGGATACATGTTCACTTAAACACACACTTAATATAATGCATCACTTTTAAAGAGAATTACCATAATAGAACTATACATGTTCACTGCATCATTTTACTTAAAATACTTACTCAAGTAAAACAACACAAATGTGCAGTAGAATACATACATGCTTATACATAGTCATATACATTTTCCCCATGCGAATACAGACATTTCCGCACGCAGACAAACATTTTAAGTTGTCTGGCCGCACACACATTTTATGTACCACTCTACCAACTACGAAACCACGTTCAGTTGAAAGCAAGTATGAAACCACGTTGAGTTTAGGCTAGACAGACGCTGCAAATGCAAGTTGTCTGTCTAACCAACGAAATACCAAAAAATGAGGAAAAATCAACATACCCTTCTCCAAACAGTCCAAAGCTTCAACTTCCACACCTTCTTCAACTTCTTCCCTTGAAGTCGCATTCAGTTCAACACCCACCGGAGCTGGGAGATTACCACCGTCACCCACGGCGTCACCCACGTCATCTCCCCATGTCAAACCATTCAGTTGACCTTCTTCCCCACTCAACTCGTCCAAATGCACCTCAGTCCCCATGATATCCATCCAAGAAGATGAAGGAGGAAGGTTTGTGGAGCTTGGCTTGAGTACTGTAGCAGCCTCGAACAAAGGAAGGGGGGGTGTGTTTTTGACGGAAAAGAAGAGAGTGGGTAGAGTAGGAGAGATGTGAGAGAAAAAGGGGTAAAAAGGATGGTAAAAAGGGGAGATTTTATATGGGGTATGAAATGGGGTATACTTGGGGTACCCATAGCAATTTTGAATTGAATTAGTTTAAAATTGGTGAAATTCTAGGTGAAAGGGATGAATTGGTTTAACTCATTGAATCAGATAACAAACCTGTTTGGGTATTCATTTTTTGACTAGCCAGAGTATTTTTTACCAAACTCGCGATCTTTGATTTTGCATGCCGAATTTCGATACGGTTGAATTAAATTTATGGATGAACAGATGTATTTTAGCCATTTTTATTTACTTTATTGTTAAAATACACTTTAAATATAACTAGTATAGTACCCGTGCATACGCACGGGATATATCAGTTGTGCATATATTTTTACTCATGATCTAATTAAATATTAGAATAAAAATAACTTTTTAAGATTCTACATTTTCAAAAAATAAGTGTACAATAAGCTAATATCATAAGTGTAAGTCACGCTATAAATATTTAATGAAGAGTATATTAGAGAAAATCGATTGACACCACTCATTTTAATTTGGTATATATTAATTCTTATGGTTATATTAATTTTATGATTACATACTTAGTACTATTCTAAAAAGTGAGTACAATAAATGAATGTCATACAATTTAAGTAAATAAAATAAATATTTAATCAGATTATTAGTTAAATAAGAACTTGTTAATCATTAGTTAAATTATTAGTGCTAACATATGAGAGAAATTGTCCTACTCATTTGATACCCAGTTTATTTTATACCTCAAAGAACTACATATGCGAGAACATTCTTCTGCTCAATTATTAGTCAGATTATCTTATACTACCTATTAGCACTACGAAGTACGTATGAGAGAGATAATTCTACCGCTTAATTGTTAGCCGGCTTCCCTTATACTTAATTGTTGGCAAGCTTGACCTGTAATACCTAAAAGCATCAAGTGTAAGAGAGAAAATTCTTCCGTCCGCTCATTTATTAGCAAATTTATCTTTTTATACCTGAAAACACTACATATGAGAGAGAAAAGTATCTCGCTTCATTGTGAGCCAGCTTATCTTATACCTAAAAGCACTACATATGAGAGAGAGAAATTTCTTATTCAATCGTTAGTCGGATTATCTTATACTTAAAAGAACTACATATAAGGGAGAAATCTACTGCTTAATATTTAGAAAGCTTATTTTCTTATCTGATTATAACTAAAAGTACAACATATGAGAGAAATTTATATCGCTCGATTGTTAGCAAAATTATCTTCTAATACCTAAAAACACTACATATGAGAGAGAAAATTATTCCGCTCAAATCCCTTGCTCAGTTGTTAGCAAACTCACGTTCTAATACCTAAGAGCACTAAATATGATAAAGATATTAGTGCCGCTCAATTATTAGCAAACTTATCTTCTTATACCTAAAACCATGTGTTGCATATAAGAGAGAAAATTCTTCCGCTCAATTGTTAGTTGGCTTATCTTATATCTAAAATCACTACATCTGAAAGAGAAAATTATCCTACTCAATTGTTAGTAAGGTTATCTTCTAATCTTCTAATGCTTAAAATTACTACATATGATAGAGAAATTTCTCCCGCTCAATTATTAGCAAACTTATATTCTTATACCTAAAATCACTACATATGAGAAAGAAAATTATCCTACTCAAATATTAGTCGGCTTATCTTATACCTAAAAGCACTGCATATGAGAGAGGAAATTACTCCGCTCAATTGTTTGCCAACTTATCTTATCTTGTACTTAAAAGAACTACGTATGTGTGAGGGAAAATTTCCTTGCTCAATGGTCTAGTCGGCTTATCTTATACCTTAAAGCACTACGTATGAGAGACATAATTTTACCACTTAATTGCTAGTCGCTTATCCTATACTTAAAATAACTATATATATATATATATATATATATATATATATATATATATATATATATATATATATATATATATATATATATATATATATATATATATATATATATATATATATATATATATATATATATATATATATATATGAGAGAATGTTCTCCCGCTCAATTATTAGCAAGATCTTATAATACCTAAAAACACTACATATGATAAAGAAATTTCCCCATCTTAATTATTAGTAAGCTTATCTTCTTATACCTAACACTACTACATATGAGAGAGAGAAATTTCTCTCGTTCAATTGGTAGTCAGCTTATTTTATTATACCTAAAAACAATACATATGAAAGAGAAAATTACCCGCTCAATTGTTAGCTGACTTCTCTTATTTTCTTATATTTAAAAGTACTACATATGAGAGAGAAAATTATCCCGCTATATTGTTAGCCGACTTATCTTATACTGAAAAGAACTACATATGAGAGAGAGAAAATTCTCGTTGAATTGTTAGCAAGCTTATCTCTTGATGCATATGAAAGAGATAGTAATAGGCTCAATTGTTAGCAGGCTTATGTTATACTCCCTCCGTCATGAAATGCTTCGCCAAATTGACTTTTCTTTGTCAATGCCAATCTACTTTGACTAATGATATTTCTTAATACAAAATTATTTAGAATATGAAAATTATATTAAAATGTTCGTCATTCAAAATATTTCCATAAAAGTATACAATTTATAAATTATACTCCCTCCGTTTCACAAGCAAAGTCACATTTTCCTTTTTCGGATGTTTCAAAAATAAAGTAACACTTCCCTTATTTCCTTATTTAGCAAAGAATTCTACGTCAAAACAGTGCCAAACAGTGTCAAACAGTGTCTGAACACTTTCAAAGAGTGTCTAAATAGTGTTTTCTACAGTAAAGTCAATTTATTACCTTAATCCTAGAGAAGTCAAACTGTGACTTTCTTTGTGAAACGGAGGGAGTATATACATATAATAGTCAAAATCATCGCTCAAAGTTTGTCATCACTGACCAAGACAAGTTAATATGACGAACCTTTTCGGGATGGAGGTAGTAACTTATAGCACTACATATCTTATCTTATCTTATACTTAAAAGTAGTACATATGAGAGAGAAACTTTTCTCACTCAATTATTAGTGAGCTTATATTTCCTAATGCCTAAAAGCACTATATAAGACAGAAAAAATTTCCTTGTTGAATAGTTAACCGGCTTATCTTATACCTTAAAACACTACGTATGAGAGAAATAATTCTACCGCTTTATTGCTAGCCGCTTATCTTAGACTTAAAAAAAACTACGTATATGAGAGAAAGTTCTCTCGCTCAATTGTTAGCAAGATCTTTTAATATATAATACCTAAAAGCAATACATATGATAGATAAGTTTCTCCCGCTTCATTTTTGCAAGCTTATCCTTCTTATACCTAAAACTATTACATATAAGACAGAAAAAATTTCCTTGATGAATAGTTAACCGGCTTATCTTATACCTTATAACACTACGTATGAGAGAAATAATTCTACTGCTTAATTGCTAGCCGCTTATCTTAGACTTAAAAAAACTACGCATATGAGAGAAAGTTCTTCCGCTCAATTGTTAGCAAGATCTTTTAATATAATACCTAAAAGCAATACATATGATACATAAGTTTCTCCCGCTTAATTATTAGCAAGCTTATCTTCTTATACATAAAACTATTACATATGAGAGAGGAAATTCTCTCGCTCAATAGTTATTTGGCTTATCATTTATCTAAAAGCACTACATATGAGAAAAAACTATGAAATATTATGTAAGACTATGAAATTTTTCCGTTCTATATATTCTTTCCTTATAGAATGTGAATTTCTTAAGTGTAACTGTGATATATTATTTTAAGGAAGGCAATGTACATAACGTAGATGTGACCTTTTTTTTAGCAAGTTTGACATTATTTATCAACGTATGGTTGATGAATTGAATTCAAATTGCTCATCGTCACCGTCTTCAAATTAGGCCAACTCAAAACAGAACTAAATAGACCAACTCGAAGTTTTTTTTTCTTTAAAATTAATTTGATTCTCATTTGTGGATTTTTTTCTTCAATTGTATGTCAAACTGTTATTAGAGTGCAATAATTCGTATTAAACCAATGTTGAGTAACACTTGACACCACATATAAGAGCCCGTTTGGTAGCTCGAAAATCGGCTGATTTGGCTGATTCTGCTGAAATTTATGAAGTTCTGACTGAAGTGGTTGCATTGGTTGATTCTGC